ATCAACATCACATTGGGTAAACCATTGCAGAAGAGAGTGGATTGACATCCCAATGAAGAGTTCATAATGAAAACTCACCCAATGAGAAGAAGTTGTAGCTTAAGAATTTCAAGCAGTCAGACCCAGTTAAATTGGTGATTATATCTTTGCTCTATTCTTGTTTCACAGTAATGAGAAAAGAAGGGCAGATGTAATCACTAATTTTCACACCATATAATGAATAAATAAAATAATAATAATAAAAAGAGAGAGAAAGAGAAAATAGTAAGCTATCCCGTGAAATTCGGGCCTCTCATGCCCTGCCACCCGCGTCTGCAACACACCACCACCATGTCATCTCCACTCCCTGTAAACTGCTTCTACAATGCCCAAATCATAAAGAGGATTTCTTTTGGATTTTTTTTAATTTGTAATATTGTGATATAACCCAAAGCACAACAATGTAAGGGGGATGCTCTATTTTTCTGAAGTAATAAAAAAATAGTTATATATATATATTGAAATAACTTTACAAACTAAAAAAAGAAGAAGAAAATAAAGTAAGCTTTTACCTTTCGGTCGGAGCCTTGCATGCGATAGGAACCCCCTCTTTCCAATCCGAACGGTGAAAAGGTGTAAGGTATCCCCAGAAGCAACATATCAAAAAACTAGGTCGATCCAACGATAGACGGAGGAGATCGAAGCTTTGAAAGGTCACCGACCATTTTTACAACAATATACTCCAAACATCACAAAACGGTGGTCGGATCTCCAACCACTATGATGAAACGAATGAACCCCAAAAGTTTGGTGGCCGACGATGACCGACGCGGCTATCAGCAATGGCGCTCATCGCCGGTTTCTAAAGAAGTGAAGAGAGAAGGGGGAGGATTGAGGAAGAAGATAGAGAGTGAAAAAGAGAAAATGAAAGAAAAAAAGGTATTTATAAAAGAATTAAAATGATGTCGTTTTGGCGTTTGCCCAAACTCCTGTGAAACGACGTAGTTTTGGCACCAAGTGGTGCATTTAGGGCTTCTAGGGTCAAATCACGCACGTAGTCACTCCAATTCTCTCCCGTGTTCATTTTGGTCCCCAATTTCAACTTATTTCACTTATTTTCAAATATTTTATCCTTATTTTGTTATTTTACCATTTTTAACGTTTTAATACTAACATTTTAGCTTATTTTCGTATAGGTCCCCCAAGGTTTACCATGTTTTTACATTTTGGTCACTGTACCTCTCTTTTCTAATTTATTATAGTTTTATCATTCTATTCTATTTTAATTTAGTCACTATTATTATTCTGATTTATTTTAAAATAGTCATTGGTTTTAATGTTTATTCATTTTAGTCGTTGTTTGGATTATATTTCTTATTTTATTATGATTTGGATGTGATATTTGCAATTTATTCATTTTAGTCACTTTTTATTTTTGATTTGGCTACTATTTTTTTGTTTTATTACATTTTGGTCCCTTATTTTTTTAACAATTTAATTTCAGTCCTTTAATTATTTTACTCTAGTTTTTGTTTATTTTATTTTAGTCCCATGAATATATATATATATATATATATATGCATTTTTCATATTTTTATCACATTGCATGTCTTATTTTGCTATCTTGCTTTGTGGTCCTTATGCTATTTATGATTTTATTTTATTTAAGCACTTATATTTGTGTGATATTTATTCTTGGTCTTTGCTTTTATCGTGTTTATATTTTTACCACTAAAGTTTAAATTTTTATTATCTAACATGATTAATTAAATTTGTCAAAATATTTGTTCACTTTGTCTAATATATTTAAGCTCTAAAATATGTTTATCCATGCATACTTTAGTTATTCATTTTGGTCAAATCAAATTATTTTAATATCGAGTTCTTGGGAGAAATTATTATATTCTTGTATTTCACTTAGAAAGAGAAATATTCGTACTAAAGTATTTTAGGGATTATTTTCTCTTCGATTGGAAATATTAGAATATTTTCTATTTCTCCATCGAATTTCTCGTTAATAAAAACTATATGGTTGAATTTGGAATAATAGAATCATAACTTAAATTTATATTCAAATTCTTAGATTTCAACTATTAGATCAATTTATAATCGACGGGGTACCAATTTTGGGCGTTGTGGGGGTGATTATCCTTCCCCACGTGTAATCGACCCCCAAACCCCTTTATTATTATTATTATTAAAAAAGAATGAATTTCTGGTTACACGTAGACTCTGGTGCATATTTTAAAATGGTGTTTTCTTAAAAACTCTTTTGAAAGACGGTTTATGGGTATTCAACCTACCTAACCCAAAAAGTTGATGGTGACTCCTCATATTATAAAACCTTTTCAAAGAAAAACCCCTAAGTCGTACTAAGGTTTTCCCCACCCGGACGAAAAATGGTGTCGGCAATCTTCTCTCAAATTAATATCTTAAGAATTTTGGTTTTCAAATTGATACGGGAACTAGACACTTTCTTTTAAGTTAGTAACTAAAAAAATATTCTCTCATATTGATAACCAAATTTTAATTTTATTAATTATTTTGGTACTTTTAAATGCACACATAATGTATCATCATTGACACATAATATAATATTTTGTTGTCATGTTATCAGAAGCTAATATTCTAAATAAAAGTATCAAAATATTAGATATAATTAAAGTTTAGGTACCAACACCCAAAAAAATGGTATCAACTTGAGAGAAGATACTTGATTCAATTATTAACCAGAAAGTTAAAAAAAAAACTTTAAATGCTAACTTTAGAGTGAGTGCGTTAAAGTAAAAAATGTGAAGATAATCACAAGAAAAAAATGATGAGTTAATCTTAGTATTTGATTTTCCTCATCCAACGATCATATAGGTGTAAAATTAAAATTTTTATACTAGGTGTATGTGGATCTTAACCTTATACATGGGGGTAGGACCTGCTTACACTATGTAAAACTAATAAGTTTTACAATAATTTATAGCCATTAGATTAAATAAATAAATGACGTAGATTTAATTAAATTTATAACTCATAAGTAAATATCTTTTAACTTACATTAAAACAATATCTTTTTAGCTCGATCTTAAATCTCAAACCCCAAAATTCAAAACCCCAAAACTCTTACCTCAAATCCCAAAACTTAAACCTAACCCTAAATCTTAAGTTTTAAACCCTAAGACCTACTCCTTAACCCTAAAAAGAAAAAAATATTATTTTACTATTAGTTAAAGAAATATTTATTTATGAGTTATACATTTTTATTAAATCTAATCCATTTATTTATTTAAATTTAATGGCTATAAATTAGTGTAAATTTTATTAGTTTTACATAGTGTAAGTGGATCATAACTCATATATATAATTTAGTTATACCTAGTGTAATTTTTTTTATTTTACACAATTTTAGGATCATTAGAGATGACTGGAATGATCTCCTTACTTTTTTTAAGTGAATATATTTTTATTTTCAATTGTTAATCTCAGTCATCTATTCACTCATTCAACAATCATAAAAATGTGCAAAACTAAAAAAAAAAACTTTACACAATGTAAACAGATCGTGCCTCGTATAGACACACATAAATATATCAAAATTTTCACAATTTCATTATAATCTTTTTTTAAAATTCTCATTTTATTAGTTTTAAGATAAAAACTTAATATAAAAATAAGTGTACAAACTATTTTGTTTTTTCTATTTAGGTGTCTAAACTATTTTTTGATCAATCCAAGTATCTAACGTTTCCAACATTATACTTTTATGTGCATGGATAGTCATCGTAGTTAATAAATTTTGTTAAGTGACACATGTCACATTCTTGTAATTTTAAAAATTTATTTAAAAAAATTAAAAATATTATTATATTTAAAAAACCCAAAATTTTTCTATTTTACACATAATGCCCCACATTTCATAAAACCCTAATTCCCAAATCTCACAACCTTAATTTCCTATTTGGCCGACGACAAAGGGGTAACTGAAAGTGAAGTCTAACTATTGATGGATGGTTTCGACGACAACACAATGGTGACCGGTGATTGGTTCTACGACGATGCAAATTTGAGAAAGAAAAGGAGAGAGACGCAAAGGAGAATAAGATGAATTGACTAAGAGTGGTGCAACAATGGTGATTGAAGCACTGTTGAGGCTTTTCTACATCACAGTCGACAAAGATGTCATTTTCCCATCGTCGTCAGATTTGTTGGGAATGACTTCGATCAACCGAATATTAATATAGGGGTGGAATTAGAGATTTAAGGATTTTGGATTTTTTTTGCTATTTTATAAAAAAGGGATTTTTAATTTTTTAAAAATAAAATTACCAAAATATGATATGTGACACTTAATAGATCTTTTTAACGGCTACTACGATCATGACACTTAAAATGGTCACATTTGTAACGTTAGACACTCACTTGAATTTATTGAAAAATAGTTTCAACACCTAAAAAGAAAAGATATAGTTTATAAACTTATTTTTATATTAAATCTAAGATTAAAAAGTAAAATTTAGAAGAAAAAAAGCAAAGAGAAAATAAAGGGTTAGAAATGTTGTTTAATATAAAAAATTAAATTATTTTCGATTAATTTTCTTTTATATTTTACAAGTTCAATTTATTAAAATTATCCACTACAAAAGCCATCTAGTACCTATTCTTTTTCACCATAAAACCTAATATCAAAACCAATGCAACATAATTTTAAAGCATTCAAGGTATTGTTCTTGCGATCATATTGTGTGCACTATGTATATGTATATATAGAAGTATGAACAGTTTGTGATATTTCAATATTGTTTCAAACAATTCATTCAATATCAAATATATATTTCAGTCACTCCAACATCCAACAGCATAGCATTCAAATCTACGAAATATATGAAAACCCAAAAACTATGAAAATCAAACACAAACCCTAAGAAAACTTACATTCTGGATGGAACATAAGAGAAACACAAACATATAGTATGCCTCATCCAATTGGCCCTTAAATGTTATTATTACACATATAGTATTTGAATTTGTTGTCATTTAGAAGGAAAATTATGTTCCTTATCTGGTTGGCTATGAAGAAACCTAGGAGAAATCAATTGGAAAGGTGTAATAGATTGGGTTACCGATGAAAACGGTGGAAAGTTGAGAGAATTAAGTAAGAGGCTTTGTTGTTGTGCACCTGAGCTCAGCATCTGAAAATGGTTTATTTGTTGTCTAGGATCCACCGGATGAGGCGGGAACGAAGGCAGCGCTCCCCCTCCTAGCGGCGGTGGACAAAGAGATAATGCGGATGGCAATGGCGGCACCACAGCATTGAAATTATGTGCTTCTTCTGAATGGGGTGCATGTACTATGAATCCATGACTTCCTAAATGTGATGATGATGATGAAGGAAAACTCGAAGGCTCCAAATGGTGATATGAATGAGACGATGGTTCGGCATTGTTTAAAGTTTGTGCACCATGATCATCTTCATTTGGTCTACATTTTTCTCGTTTATCACCAATTGAAACCCTAGAGATTTCTTTCGGTTTAGCCCTCGAAAAGGCTTCAGAATTCAGAAAACAGGCCGGCGGCAGCACCAGCAAGGGTGGGAGTTCGTCGATATCGTTCTTAGCAGCATCAAGCAACCAATCAACGACCTTGCTAGGTTGATTAAGTCCAAGCCTGTCTTGAAGACCATACAATTGAATTGCAGTGGGAACCGACAGCCTTACCCTTCGGTCTCTCAATCCTCGTAAGGTGTAAACTTTGCTGTGCCTGTCTTTTCCTCCAAAAGCACGCGAAACACGTACGATCCTCGGATCTTTCAATCTCAACCATGGCGACCGCGGCGCTGACGAACTCGATGGAGCTTTGTTGATCATCTTGCTTTCATTCCTGTTGTTGTCGTTGTCGTGTCTTGTCGGAGAATCTGCGTTTTCTGAACTCGAAATCATCTTATGCCTCTCATCATTGAACCATCGGAAAGCTGAAAAACAAGGTGAATTCAATCCTTTTTTTTTGCAAAAAGCTTCGAAATTTTATGAAACATAAAGAACAACAAACACATAAAGTTCATAAATTAATAATGAAAGTAAACAAATCCCATTTTTTTCCTGGAAAAACTAAGGAAGTTTGTAAAGAAAAAATTGTTGAACTAACTACATATGCGTCAAACTTGAGAAGAAGAACAAACCCTAGATTTCATGCCCTTTTTATCAGATAGAAAGCTATGAAGATGTAAGACAGATCTCAGTAATACTTAAAAAAATATATGGGTCATTTTTTTTATACAGAAAATGCAGAAGAAAGACCAGATTCTTTGAAATAATCAAAGTTTCAAGCAAAGAAAAAAATCATAGTCCATTTAAACTTACAAAAAAATCAAACACTTGAATGAAAGCACCTTTAAACTTTTGTTATGGACTCACCCAGACCAATCTGCAGATATGTATATACATATATGTTTATATTGAGAGATTACAATTTTTTGTTTTAATTGTGAGAAAGATAGAACTTACTGTTGAAGTTCATCTGTTTGTGAAAAGAAATATGCTGGAATTGTACCAGCCATAGTCCATTGAAGAATTGAAGAGGGAAAAGGAAAATAAAGAAAAGCAATGGTAGTAGGGCTTCCACGTGGTCCATATCATCAACTGAAAATTATAAAACAAACATAATAGATAAAAGATAAAAATTAAAAAAGAAGTGATTAGTTCTACTATCATTTATGTCGAGGTATACTTGATCTTGATATTAGTAACGGAGGTAATGTCAGGGTCATTTCATTTTCATGAGATTATCTTGACAGTAACTCAATGGTGGGCAAGTAAAAATATGATTTTATGTTAGAGAATAAAATTTATTAAAAAAATATATAAAAGGAGTAAATTTATAAATTAAGGTTGAAAACAATTGTTTTCTAGGTACTATTTTTCTCTTTTAGTTGTTTAGACTTGAGCTTTGCCTCGAACTCGAATATAAAGGGTTTTTTTATTGAGGCCTTCTCTTCTTAAAACAAATAATATAATCTAAAAATCATATAAAATGTATGAGAATGAAGTCCGTTTGATTATAGAAAATATAAGTTATTTTCATTTTTATTTTCCTAAAACATAGAAAATAGTGAAGAAAAGATGTTTAGTTATAAAATTAGAAAACAATTCTAAAAATTGAAAACAAAATAAGTGAAAATATGAAAACATAAAAAATATGTTTTCAGTATTCTCATCAAATTTGTTTTGAAAATTTGAAAAATAAAGAAACGTGAAATCTAGATTTTTAACTTAACTTATACACATTTAAATCATTATAACAATAACTTTTTTTATTTATATTAACAAAACATGTGACCCGAACCCGACCAGATCCAAACATATTGGATCCATTCTAAATTTTATGAAAATAAAAATAGAAAATATTGTCTAGAACCAAACATATTCTAAATTTTTTCAAGGGGCAATTGTCCCACCCAATCCTTGGATCCATCTAGAGATGGGCATGTGACCTGAACCCGACCCGACCCGACTCAATCGAATCGTTTTTTTTTAAAATTGGGTTCTGGTCAGTTCGGGTCGGATTTTTTTAAAGGTGATATTCGGGTCGGGTCGAATTCAGATTTAGGGTGAAAAATGTCTGACTCGACCCAACCTAAAAAAATATAATTTTACATTATATATTTAGGAATAATTACAATAATACCCATCTATATATTATTTTTTCAATTAAATCACTAATTTTATTTAATAAAAATAATATTTTTATTATTTCGAGTCGGGTCGGATCGAGTTCGGATTTTATCTTAAAAAATCGGGTTGGGTTCGGATCAGGTGGATGATATATATATTTTGGGTCGGGTTAGGTCGGGTTGGCCAAAACCCGACCCATGCCCATCCCTAGATCCATCCCTGCTTGCTCCCTTTGGAACCACTCCTGCATATAAATATACTTTAATTTCATACTCACTTGGATGGCATGCAGTTTTCTATTTCTTTATTTTTTTAACAAATTCTAAATCTATTCCTCTTACTCAGAGTGGAGGAGAATGAGAGACTTTAAACTAAAAAAGGAAAGTGCTCCTAATGAATCTAAAATCTATAACTTAAGAAAATATGAGAGAACAAATATGAGCAGTTTAATCCAAATTTGCTTAACCCAAATTTACGTGTTCCAATCTTTCATTTCTTAATGGAAAAACAAAGTGTAAAATGTCATTCATGTTCACCCGAGTTTGGGTACGATGTGATCCCTCTCTTCTTGACACAAAAACAACGGGGGACCATGCATGGCTGCACCATATTTCAAAAAGTGAAGAGGCATGCTTTATCGACAACTACAAAAGGCCTCTGTGAGGCGAATCCCTATCACATGGGGTTGATCAATGCACGCCTAATACTAGTACACAACATGTTCCTAACAACAAGTGGTATGCGCACCGATATTGTACATTACACTCTCAAAGAGAGTATTCAAATTCGAATCTCGAACAAATTTTAGTAGAAGGGATAGCCACAAACCCTGAACATAGGAATGATATTCTTGTAACACGATTTTTCGTTAGATTTTGTTGTTTTGTTCCAACTATCCAATCTAAACTGATTGTCAATAAGAATATTCATGATCACAACTTAACTCAGAGGTATGGATTTTTTAAATTACGGTTGCAGTCACGTATTTGATTGTGTTGTGTTTATTACAATTACAGACATAATAAATGCTATTGTCGTAATTGACCGCTATCCATTAAATTACAGCTTTGATCAACTGATATTGGTGTGATTTCGCTTTATACCGCTATTTTTCGTGATTGCAGTTTCAACCGCTATCGCTATACAACGGTTACTATTCTACTACCCGACTATTATTTGAATCCCTGCATAGAGGGGATAACATCAGCCGGAGAGGATAAGAGTAAACAATCTAGGAAAGATAAGTGTGTGTTGGGGGCGGGGGTTGTGAATTTGATAGTTACTCGAGCCATTAACAACACAACCTTATAGGGTTGGGACCAATCTCTATATCTGCTTTAGAAACATCATGTAGTGATTGAAAAGAGGACCACATAAGACCCAGCTTTATGTGAGGAAAGAATATGCATGGATAGAGGACAAGTTTAAGTGTCTTTAAACCTAACAGTTGGGAAAAAGAAATATATCAAATCTTCGGTCTCTCTATTCATTGAAATATGCAACTTCGTTTGCTCATCTTGGATCATAACAAGCTGTTAGCTTTTTCTATATGCATAAGTTTCTCCTACTTTTTGATCTGATAAAATATGGGTAATGCAGTCCTCCCATAGAAGCAAAACTAGAAACCCTAGATAGGGCTAGAAAGGAATCAAAGCACTTCAAATGAAAACAAGGAAATTTAACTGTGATAATACAAGTTATGACATACATTTTTCCCCTAGAAAACAAAACAATCTGCATAATTACTGGTTTAAACATGAACATGAAAAAGTCGCTTGATCATGAAGTTTTAAAGTGTTTTTAAACTGTGTGGGCCTGCGTGTGTGCTTATATATATATATATATATATATATATATATATATATATATATCAGAAGAGATGATTATCTGGGTTTTTTTTTAAGTTTTCCCTTGATGAGTTGTTTGTTTGGCAGGGGAGAAAATAGGAAAAGAAACTTTTTTTCTTTTTAGGGTTGAGAGTATTTGTTTTTATTTGAAGTGTTGCAACAAGCAGTGTGGGCACCTCAAGATGAACAGTGAAAAGGTTTCTTCACAAACTGCACAGTTTCTGATTATCCTCATACAAAGCAAAGGTACCATTATTGTCACATAAATGGTCCCTAAACTCCACACACTGTACAATTTAAAATATGCAGGAATAACGGTGAATCTATAAATTTAAGAATGAAGTCTAAAATTTTAATATTATTTTCTTAAAAGCAATAGGTATGCAAAAATATTTATTTATTTTTCCCATTTTTCCTTAATATCTTAAACTAAATTTCACTTTTTTTCTTTAAATAATGGGATGCACTTGGTCCCTAAGGGACTTAGTGCACCCATCCCTGTGCACGAATTACGCGACCTCGATAGTAAATGAATTGTTGTTTTTTTTAAAAATCTCGGGTTCAAACATAAAAAATGCCACATGTGTGAGGTTTTCTTTCTAAGCTTGATGGAAATAATATGCTTTTGGTGTTCTAGCCACTCATGTAATTGCTGTGCTGATAGGTTTTGTTTGTTTTGGGCATTTCAGTGAAGTGGAGAGTGGTGTTTGTTTTGTTTGGATATTGGTTTGCATCTTGGTGGAGGCTTCCGATCTTAAAGAGTATTGGGAGTGGCCAGCTTAGTTGGGCGTATTTTTTCGATGTAGTTCCTTGGTATTCCAGATTTTGATTTTGTTCTCATGGCAGTGGTTAGATTAGTTGGGTGATATATTTTCGATGTCTTTCCTCGTTGGTTCGGGTAGAATGTATTCTTTTTCTCTTTCTAAGATTGAGGAGGTTTTTAATGAAGAATTGTACTTGGTCTTTGATAGTTTAATTTTATGATGAAAATCTTATTTGCCAAGGAAAAAAAACTACTCCACTTACCCAGATTAATAAAAAATACAATATAAAATATAGGGTAAAGTACGCAAATAATCCCTTGACTATAAGGTATTGCTTTGTTGAGTCTTCTTACTACTAAAAAGTACGATATGGTCCCTTCACTATAAGGCATTAATTTATTGAGCCCTTTGACTATTAAAAATTATAAATGGCCACCCCAACTATCCATATGTTCCAAGCTTATCCTTTTTCATTAAAGTTTTGATGACAATCTGAATTGGACGTTAACATGTTAATTGAGATATGATAGTCGTTTGAGATTTTGGGATCAAATTTTATCATATCACAATCAGTATTTAACGTCGTGCTCAGATTGCCATCAATTTTATAACAGAAAATGACGAGTTCGGAACATATAAATAATCAGGTGATCATTTTGTAACTTTTAATAGTTGGGGACTCAACAAATCAATGACAAATAGTCAATGGACCAATTTTGTAACTTTTAATAGTTGAGGGACTCACAAAATAACACCCTATAGTCCGGGGACCATTTATGTACTTTAACCTAAAATAATAAGCCCAACCTTTCCGATCTAAATCCCATGAAATTTTTTGATAATTTCTTTATCTTTACAACGAAAAGTTCCTGGAGTGATTTACTTATCCAATTGTGCTGTGTTATATCATTTTTTTTGTAGAGTTGATGTGAGAAGTTAATTGGGTACTAGTTCAATGGATAAATAATTAAAATATTTTTTTAAATAATAATTAATATTATTATATAATTAATTTTGTATCTTTCGTACTTTTATATGAAATAAAATAATTAAAAATATACAAAATCTTTTAACATGTAATCAATAGATCTAACGTTTGAATCTTCGTAAATTATTTATGATTATTTTGTGAAAAAAATAATTAATCAATAATTAATTACTAGTTAATCTGTTATTTTTTTTGCCTTTTCTATGCTGGCTTTGTTTTCTTTTCGGTGTACTTAGAGAGTTTTTGTGTTTAATTCATGGCTGTTCATTTCTGGAGGGTTGGGGGAAGAGTACTTGGATGTTTTTTCAATGTTTTACTGATTGTAC